CAACAGCCGGCTCTATGCGCTTTACACTATATTATTACCCCAGCAGACCATAGAACACTCCGAAACGTTCTCAGCTTCCCGTGAAGCATACAGTGCAAGCAGCTGATTAAGCGCTCAAACACTAACAAACTGACAAGATCTTTCGCTGTCTAAAGCCGGGTACCCATTCCCACCTGGGTGAAGTGAGGAAAATTCGTGTTAAATGCCTTTCCCAAGGACACAACGTTGGGCCCCTGACGGGATTCGAACCCACTACCTTACGGTTGCGAGTCCGAGAGCCTAACCACTAGGCCACCGACACCGCTCTTATTTCTTGGGAAAGTTATGATAGAGGGTCTCAGTGCTTCAAAGTTTTTACATAGAAGCACTCGTAAATAAACATATACAGACATTTGCACAGACATACAAATATCCGGTGGGTAATTGGCGGGTGCTCTGGTGTGGTCTGCTCCTTCTTTCCTATCAAACATCTATCGTCCTTATCTCCCCTTCTTCTTTTTTTATGTTTGTTACTCTCTTGTAGCACCTCTAATCTTCTGGCGCACATATGACCTTATGCAGTTGCGAGCGCCGTAAAACCTCAACTAAAATATTTTAAAACCCACAAATATCCTTGTGCACTCTCAATCAAATCAAATGATTCTTACTCATTCAGTTTCGTGTTCATTTCCAATTTATCTTCCTGAAGTTAACGAATTGCAGCCCATGTTTTGAAGACCACTGAAATAACCTGGATGCTCACTTACTTATATAGTGGGAGGATGTATGGTCATTTTGTGTCGGTGAACATGTGGGTTTTTTTCGTTGTGGATATTTATGACTTTTTTTGTGTGTGTGGGTTTGTTTGTTTTCTCAGGTCTGGTCCAGGGAAAACGGCCTGCTGTTGTGCCGCAACGTTTGAAGTCTTTGATGAGGAAGTTCTCCTCAGGTGAGCAGAGTGTGAAGACACACGGAGAGTGTGTAGGTGGGTGGTTGGCGGGTTCTCTGGTGTGGTTTGCTTCTTCTTTCCTGTCAATGTCAAAGATCTATCGTCCTTATCTCCCCTTCTTCTTTTTTATGTTTGTTACTCCTCTTGTAGCACCTCTAATCTTGTGGCGCTCATATGACCTTATGCAGTTGCGAGCGCTGTAAAATCTCTACTAAAACTAAAGAGTGTGCAGGTGTGTGTGTAGGGGCGTGAGTGTTAAATACCGTCAAACTTGTCCAAGATGGCCAGTGTTGAGGAAAACGGTGGTTTTCTTGGACAATAGTAATATATATATAGTCAAACCTGTGTCAGACGGCCACCCATTGTCAAGGAGAAAAGTGGTCGTATAAGACAGGTGGCCGTATAAGACAGGTGGCCGTATAAGACAGGTGGCCGTATAAGACAGGTGGCCGTATAAGACAGGACTGATCAAGATGAAGAAAACAAACCTCATTCCCAATCGAAAGTAGCCGCATTGTTGTTGTTGTTGTTGTTGTTGTTGTTGTTGTTGGTTTGTATTTTGTTTGTTATTTTTATTTTGTTGCTGATTTTGTGCAAGGGTGACAATAAAACGAAATGTGTCAGACAAGGAGGACCGAGAGCTACAGTAAAACAAACATATGGGTCGCCACCACTCGGAGAACGAGCGAAGCTTCTGTCACAAGTCCATGTTGACGTCCATTGTTACTTTGTTACAGACTGGGTAAACAGTGACCACTCATCTCACTTACGATTTGTGTATGAGTTCTGGGCGGGGCTTATGGGTTGTGAGGGATCTCACGTTTCCCTCACCAGCAACTGGAAATTGGTACCTATTGGTCAACAGTGGGAGGGGCCTACGCAACGTGATCGGTTGGAGGGACTACCTAACAACAACGACAGGTGATTAGATTATGACGGCTCGCCCACAACGCCAGGGGTCAATGCACAATTTATGACAAAACGTAATGGCGTCACTAAGGTGGTCGTCTAAGACAGGTGTTATTGCTCAGTGTGATAGGGGTTGTGTGTTAAATTACGGTGGCTGCGGCCGCGTTGGAAAGGTGCCCGTTTTACACAGTTAAATTATATAGAAAAAACGCTAGGGGGGAAATGGAAAGTGGCCGTCTTATAGAGGTGGCCGTCTTATAGAGGTGGTTGTCAGGGCAAGTTCGACTGTATATGTTTGGGTTTTTTTAGATGCAAGGGGGTGAGGGGGGGAGTGAGAAGGATGTAGTTGTTTGTACAGGTGATTGTTTTTGATAGGTGACTGTTAGAGCAGGTTGGATTGTAGCAGGGTTGTGCGTATGAGTGTGTTAGGAAACGGGGGGGGGTGAGCGATAACCACTCTATGTCTTTGTTCTTTCTAACGCTAAATGTCGATATTGTATCTAAATTTTTGGTTCGCAGAGTATGTTTTATCGAAATTTGTATTTAGTATTTTGCTACTTTGATTGTTTTAGGGGGTTTTTTTCATCCCCTTAAAGTGAAGGTTGTATCTAAAATTGTGTTGAGTAGAGTATCTCGCTGAATTAGTTGATTGGGGGTTTTTTGATGGGGGGTTTTTCCCTTGAAGTCAATATTGTATCTAAATTTGTATTTAGTCGAGTATTTGGTCCATTGATTTGTTTTATCTTCTTCTCCTTGAATTAAGTTGATATTGTGCCTCTAAATGTGTGGTTGATGGAGTATTTCACTTTAAAAATTAAAAATTTTCTTGGCCTTTAACCCTGTCCGTACGCCCTGGGGTCATTTTGTACCCCCCGGGGTTGTATTCCTCACATTTCAGAATACTTCTAGTGCGAAGATCTCTTTGAAAATTTCAGTATTTCTCAAAAAATCATTTTGACAGACTTCTATGCACAGCGTACAGATCGGATTAACGAGTAAATTTCCTCTTTGGAAAGTGGTGGCACAGAGTTCCCTACGTCGTATGAATACGACAGGAAAACACGACGTACAGATAGGGTTAAGTCAATATAGTAATCAAAATTGAATTGAGTAGGGTTTTCAATGTCTGTGTATAAATGAATATTCCGCTGTGTGTTTCCATGTAGGTCAAGGAAAAAGACAAGCGGAGGAAGAAAGTAGAGCAGAAGACAAGGACAGCGACGAGGACACGAGTGCGTTGTTGGAGGACATGGTGTCAGATCACGAAGACGACAGCTGTTTGGAAAGTATCGCCGACGACCTTGACTCTGTGGCCAGCGGTGATGAGGGCAGTCCCAGGGGGGAGATGAACGAGACGTTGAAGAATAGTGTCGACAGTTCTGCCGGAAAGTCAATCTTAAGTACTCATTGTGTCCCTGGAAATTCAGTTTCAAATAGTGGCCCCACTAGCGGTGGGAATTCAGTCTCAAACTGTGGTCACACTCTCGTTTCGCTGAAGGGGCGGGATAGAAAGAAAAAGGAAGTCATTGGAAACAAAAGCAATAGAGATGGGCAGAGAGGGAAGCTGATTGGAGTCGGGCGGAAAGAAAGTGGGTCAGAGGATGAGGCAGCGAAAACCGCAGACAAGAACTGTGTAAATACCAACCTGAAGGGTAAAGTAGGTCAAGGTAGTAGCAAGGTTCATATTCTGCCTTTCAGTATTAAGCCACACTCTTCAGTGATGGGGGCAAAGAGCGTTGGAAAGAGAGCTCCACTCATAAAGTCATGTGTGAAAGAATTGGGGGAAAGTGCCGCACAAACTCTGCCTGCGAAGGATTCTCTTCAACAGCAGCGAAGCGACAAGGAAAATGAAGCAGGCGATCGGGACGACGATGATGAAGAGAGTGACTGGGAGGATGAGTTAGGAGCTGCTGACTGTTTTAACAATGATGTGGGAATGGAGAAAGAAGAGGAGGAGGAGACTGCTCATGGGGCTATTCAGCCACGTGGGAAGAGTCCCGGTGTTGGTGACGACGGGGAGGAGGAGGATGAGGACATGGAGGAAGAGGAGAGGTCGCCATCGGTCAGTTTGGAAGCGGTGTTCAGCTTTGCCCACATCGAGAACATTTTGTCTCCGCTGGCCCCGACGCCTTCTCCTTCCCCCAGGCCACGCTCGGTGAGTTCTTTCTACTCTTACTCAAACACACTGTATGTTGCATTTACTTTAACTCACACACTGTATGTTACGTTTACTCAAACACAATGTCTGTTGCAGTTGCATTTACTCAAACACTGTCTGTTGCATTTACTCACACGTAAACACACTGTTACTGTGTGTTGTGTAACTTAGACACACTATATGTTACGTTTACTCTGACTCAAATGCACTGTATGTTGCATTTACTCAACACAATACTCTATATGTTGCATTTTCTCTAACTTAACACTTTGCTGTCACACAGCCAGCAGTACAAAATACCCCATCTGGTCACCCAGCCAAGGGAGCGACTGCCACAGACTTCTCGGGCCTGGCACAGAACTGCGCACGGTGACCGGAACGGATAATTTTCACCGTCGCATTATTGCACCTAGTGACCGCAAAGTGTTAAACACACTGTCTGTTGCGTTTATTCTAACTCAAACACGCTCTATGTTTCAGGTGTCTCCTGTCAGTCGGAGAAGGAGCCCCTCCCCTTGTAGTACCTCAAGGACGAACAGACCAGATACAGAGGCAGGGAACACACGCAGAGACAACGAGACACCTCCACCACCCCGCCACTCTGCCGACGTTCATGGCACGGGTGTCAAGGTCAAGTCGACGTCTGCTGATGTCTCCAAAAGCTCTCCACACGCAAGGTCTGAGGCTGAGGCTGAACTGGCTGCCGTGCTGAGCGAGACAAAGGCGGATGAGGGCTGTGGCAACGTGGTGGATGCCGAGGTGGAAGGTATTCTGGCTGGGGGGAGTGTCGTCCGTGGTGGGGAGATGACGACGAAGATGATGACGTCTGTTGAGCCCAAGGCCTCTTTGATTCAGCGGCGGGAGATAGAGGCGGAAGGAGAGGAGGGTACGGTGGAGGGAAAAGAACAAGGTGCTATGTTGTTCTCAGGTTCTGATAGCCAGGATGTGGAGCGGCCTTCAGTGTTTTCCATGTCTTCCGCTGCTGCAGGCGCAGTGAGAAATAACGAGACCTTGACCTCCTCTGCTGCGGCGTCTGCCAGTGAAACGTGTGCTACACTTACTCCATCTGACTCAAGTCAGGGTCAAGGTCGGGTTGTCTGTCCCTCTAGTAGTTCTTCAGCTTTAGTCGTAGGAGGCAGGGATGCCTCATTGAGGCGAGAGACAACTACCACCACCTCCATCTCATCCACAACCCCTATCACAACCACCTCTACGGTGACCAGCTCAGTGTGTGCGGAAGTAGACGGTACTGTTACCACTACCACCGCTGCTGCTTCTGGTGCTGCTACCAGTATTGGAGCTAGTGTAGAAGGAAATTCCACTATGTCTGCACCCCCCAACGATGCTGTGAACAACAGCGGCAACGAAAGCGCAAGCTCTGATCTGGTGAGACTCGACGCAGTGGATGATGAATCGGCGTTAGACGATTTTCTTTTCTGCTCCTCCAGCAGTAACGATGGCCCTAGAGAGAAAACGGCGTCTGGAGTGAAGGACGGAGAGAAAAGGACGTCTGGAGCGAAGGACAGAGAGGAAACGGCGTCTGGAGCGAAGGACGGAGAGATGGAATATGGGTCTGAGATGGAAGGTGCGAGCTGCGCTGTGGACCACCGTCACACTGGTGGTGGCGAGGGACATCCGTCTGTCGCAGCAGGAGAACCTGTAGCCGTTGAGTCTGGGAGTGGGAAGAGAAATCCCTCCACTGACTTGACTGAGGTGATGGGGGATATTAGTGACCTGAGCAGCGTCGATGAGGATGATGACGATGACTATAGCAACAGCGATAATGATGATGGAAGGGTGGCGAGTGCTGATTATTCTGGAAAGAAGAAAAAATTGCTAGTCAACAAAAGTGCGACTTCTTCCGGTCTCAAAGAAGTTTGTGGTGGCAAGTCTGTGATATCCGGAGTTAAAACAAAAGGTCGTGTTGGTGCGAGGGTCAAGAAGACACCTGTTAAGACATCTGTACCTAAGGGTCCAGGGTCTACGAATACCTTGACCAAAAGTGCTGAAGTGATAGAAGAACTGAGTGACCTAAGCAGTGATAGCGATGATGATGATAACAAAGGTGTTGTTGGAAGTGTGAAAGATGTAAAGAATTCGGGAGCAAAAAGGACCGTGGCTGTCTCATTGTCTTCGGGTGATAAAGAAGAAGTTATTCGTAAACATGTGACTCCTGCTGTTAGCAGCGAGGGTAAAAACAGAAACTTGTCTAGTGTGATAGAGCGGAGTGCTTCTTCTTCCACTCCTCCTGTGCCATCTTGTGATACTTCTAGCAGCAGCAGCTCTAGAGTGGGTCGTGGTAAAAGTCCCGCTGTTTCTGTGATAAACGACCCTAAAGAAGATGTTCCTAGTCTCTGTGTGAAACGAGGCTCGAAAGCCGACTCGAGTGGAAAGAAGGACTGTGGGTCGGGAGGGGGCGGCAGGAAAGGGACAGGGTCTGTGAAGACTGTGACGACGAAAGGCAAGCTAATGCTGAAGGAGCAAGGACTCTGTCTCTCTAGTGACTCTGATGATGAGTCGGGCAACGAGTCGGGATCAGCGATGATGGGAAGTGGTGGAAAGATTGAGGACAGTGCGTGTGGTGTCAGCGAGAACGGCCATGCAGATGCAGCAGTCTCGCCGGCAGCTCCTCGGGACACGAGCAGCAAGGTGGTATCTACGCCTGCTGATGTGGAAACTGGGGCTCCCACCTGCGTTGTGCAAAGTGTTGGAAGACGCAGGTCAAGTCGCCTCAGTGAGAGCAGTGTCACGTCAACCACCACACAGCTGGGAGAGCCTGAGGCTCAGATTTCTTCAAAACGAAAGGGTGGTTCTGATGAGGCTGGTAGAACGGAGAGAGGTGAGCATGTTCTCTCGTTGGTGGCAAGTCCTGGTTTGAAAACTGCTGGGTCAAGTGTTCAGCTCTGTGGAATTGGAAGAGCTGTGGCGGGTAGAAAGGACATATCTCAGGAGAAACAGTCGTCAGAGCAACCAGCTCGTCCCACAATCAACACACACCCACCCACTGACAAAACACACCCCTCAACAACAGATGACAAAAACTTGAATGCTGAAAGTCATTTTACAAGCACTCACAGAGAAAACGAGGTGTCCTCAGGACACTTGAAAAATACTGAATCCCCTTCTGAAGGGAAATCGCAGAGTGTTTCGGAAAGTTCTAATGCTGCAGCTTGTCAAAAGGATGCGAATGTGCGGAAGACTTTGCCTGTAAAGCCCTTGAATAGTGATGCAGAGAGCCCCCAGGGGTCACAAAGAAAGCTTCAAATGGCCTACGCTGCTCAACAGCTGAGCAAAATGATTGCCAACGCCAAAAATAGTATTTCCAAGAGGAAGAAAGCGAAGGAGAAGATGACAGCAAAGATGGACACGTCAATTGGGACTGCTCGAGCTGCCATGATGAGAAGAACACGGGGGAACGACAGAAGGATGGAAGCAGAGGAGGAAGAAAAGGCAGAAGATGATCCTCATGGTTGTACCTCTGGTTTCAAACAAGCAGTAGATAGCGACAATGATGTCGACAGTTCTGTTGCAGAAGTCAGTCAGGAAGAGGGTGACGTGCTTAACGATAAAAAGATTTCTCTCACAAAAGAACATGAGAAACTTCAAGATGTGCCAAAGAGTGGAAAGGGTGTGAAGACACAGCCCTTAACAGATGACAAAAGCCTGAATGCAGATAGTCATATAACAAACTCTCATAGTGAAAACGAGGCAACTTCGGAGCACTTAAAAAAGAGTGGCAAAGATGAGGACATGGTCTCTGCTGCTGAATTGACCCGTGAAAACAGTGGTGCAGTTGTCTCTGGAAAAGTCCCCCGGAAGAAGACACGCAGGAGAATTGTGACAGCTTCTAAAGCTAAAAAAGACCTTTCTGTCTCGGGCATTGGAGTTGTAGCAAGTTCGAAAGCCCATTCTTCCCAGGCCAAAACTACAAATGCCGTTGTCAAACCAAATGACTCGGATGTAAACTCAAGTGACCTTGACACCAGTAGCCTTTCATCTGATTCGGAGGTGGGCGCTGCTGATCTCAGCTCACCTCGACGACGACGCCCTCTTCCTGGGTCAAAGAGGAAGTCAGAAGATGATTCGAAGTTTCTCAATAGTGCCGATGCGCTTTCTTGTGATAGTGAGGAGAAAACTCTCCCTCTTATGAAAGAAGAAAGTAATATTATCTCCATAAAAGAAGATGCAGTTTCAAGTGTCGCCTCTAGTCTCAAAACACCTAAGACATCAGTGCTGATAGATCACGGAGATGTAAAAAGGAATGACAGTAGCCGTTTGAAACAGAAACGGTCAAAGTTACAAAGCTTCAGAAACAACGGCGGCTGTGTTGGTAGTGGTTCTAGTGTGGATCCCTCCAAAATCAAAAGCAAAGAATTTGTGTCGACGTCGTCTGAAGGTGAAAGCTCAGATGAACTCGAAAGACAGCAGAGAGCGGATGACACCAGTGTTGATCCTTCCTGTAGTAAAAGTAACGGTGATCCTTCCTGTGGTAAAAGTAACGGTGATCCTTCCTGTGGTAAAAGTAACGGTGATCCTTCCCATGGTAAAAGTAACGTCGATGGGCCCGTGTCAGAAAGTGCATCTTCTCCAGTGTCATCGTCTCAGGTGTTTGGTCAAACTGAAAATACTTTGTCGTTCACGACCATTGATCGTTACGAGAGCTCTGAGGGCCCTCAGCCGAGGCAGAGGATTGTCAGGTCCTTTCTGTCTCTCGGATTTTCTGTGGATGTTGGCGAGAAAGAAGCGATGCAGACGGAGTCTGATTCGGACAATGAAACCTGTGATGTGGACCAGAAAGACGATTCCCCTCCGTCGCTGACCCAGTCAGGGTCCTCTGTGAAGGCCTCGGAAAACTCTGCTTTTAGTATTGTGAAGTCACCCATGAAACGATCAACTTGTGAGGTCAATAGCTCATCTAATGCAGATGCAGCAGACATTTCAGTGAAGGGGAATTCCATTTATTCTGGAATGTCCATTAATGGGTTGGAACATTCCCAGCCAACAAAATCGTCAGGCTCAAAACGCAACGAGTCTTGTACCGTAAATACTTCCGACCCGTCAACCCATGCATCGCCAGCACGAAAGGAGTTGCTTTTTAGAGATGTCAAGAGACAGAACAAGGCAAGTTCTGTGACCGAGGGGCTTGGTAATGACAGCGAGGCTGGGGGTGGTGGTGGTACTGTCAAGAAAGGAAGACATAATGAAAGCAATCGCAAGACCCAACCTCTGACCTTCATAAACTTTGTGAAGTCAGACAGTCTTCTGCCTCAGGGAGCGTCAGTCTCAGGAGAACAGACAGCGACAGATGGGTCAAAGGTTAATGAAGAAGGACCTGGAGAAGTCCCCACTCCGGTTTACGAGACGGAGAATTCAGCAGATAAAGGTTTAAGTCAGGAAGAGCATGGTTCCGGAATGGTCGCAGCGTCTTTGAAAAGAAAACGGAGTGATGATGATGACGACAAGTTGTCACAATCCGAAGGCTGTCTGTCAAACGACGACGGCCCCTCTGTGTCATCGCCGCCAAAACACGCCAAACTCAGCCACGACGACTTTGAGGTCGCCGCTCTCTCGCAGGCTTTCAGCTTTTTCGACCTGCCCCGCATCGTGTCCCCGCTGGCACCCACCCCATCCCCGTCCGCCGATCGCATGTCGAGACGACAGAGCCCGAACCCGCCTAAGATGCCCCTCCTGGCTGCAGAGACGACAGAACCGGGTGACAAGATCTCCACAACTACGACGACTGGGTCCACTTCCTCTACCTCTACTTCTGCTGGTGGCAGGACTGGCATGAAGGCAGCGCCGGGCAGTTTGTCGCAGCAGATGCTAGAGGCGAAGAAAGTGCTGGCCAGACGGAAACTGGCTCAGACGGAGTAAGTGTTTGTCACGTTCAGTGGCTTTTACTAAATGTTGTTATTGATCCAGTCTATCAGTAGATGTTGTTATTGTTGTTATTGATCCAGTCTATCACTAGATGTTGTTATTGATCCAGTATGTCACTAGATGTTGTTATTGATCCAGTCTATCACTAGATGTTGTTATTGTTGTTATTGATCCAGTCTATCACTAGATGTTGTTATTGTTGTTATTGATCCAGTCTGTCACTAGATGTTGTTATTGATCCAGTCTATCAGTAGATGTTGTTATTGTTGTTATTGATCCAGTCTATCACTAGATGTTGTTATTGATCCAGTCTATCACTAGATGTTGTTGTTATTGCTCCAGTCTATCACTAGATGTTGTTATTGTTGTTGTTATCGATCCAGTATATCACTTCATAAAAGTTGCTATCATTTAACATGCTTAAGAATGTAGTTATCTTTATTGACTGACTAACTTTATTGATCTCACTATGTTTCTGTCAATGTCTCCTGGAGTGAAATGACCCGGCGTTATCAGTCTTAATATTAAATTGCTTCTTCTGTTGGGAGCCAATGCATTTGAAAGTAGACTGTACCGTTGAAAACAAGTGGAGAGTGACTGGCATTTTTCCTCCTGTATAGCAATTTTTTTTTCTTAACACCTTTTATGTCCATTTATAATCTTATTTCTGTGTGCATTTTACTGAAAAAACCTAGAGAGGTGAGCTGAGTAAGCCTGATTCCCTGTTTGGACATCTCTACTTGATGTCCACCCCCTGGTGCTCATATGACCTTCTGCAGTTGTGAGAGCCGTAAAACCTTACTAAAACAAACAAAAATAATCTGGTAATCTTTATTGACTGACTTAACTGTTCTCACTATTTTTCCATCATCTCCATAATTGAAATGGCCTGGCATTGTCAGTCTTGGCATCATATCTCTGCCGGTGGCGTCTGTCAAGGAGCCAGTGCGTTTGAAAGTAGACAGTACCGTTGGAAACAACTGAAGGGAGGGTGTGAGGGAAACCGGCATTTTTTTCCACCCAGGGTGTTGCAATTTCTTTTTTTTTTTCCTTTCTTTTTTTTCTCAACACTTTTTATGACTATTTAAAATCAAAGGCACAAAAATTGTAATTTTGCAGTTTCCAGAGGCTCTCAAAGTTTGGAAGTCACCAGACTTTGGCGGCCATTGTCAGTAGTTTGTCCTTTGACACCAGGCGACCCCTACCTCCTTCAGTGGCAAATATCTCGACTTCTGTTTAAGATAGACAAGTCTTTTCTATTTCTAAAAGAAAAACAAATAAACAAGCTCTACGATTATACCTATAACTCCATATGCTGCAAAATTGGTGAACGCCTGATTCCAGTGTGTCGTGACTCAAATTATGAATATCGACTGCTTAGCATATAAAATTGCCTTTTTGAAGAAAAGTGGCATGTGGCCATCTTGCACAGAGCTGTCCATGTATTCTAAGTCAAAGAGGAGCAAGGGGCTCTCGTGCTCTAGAGGTTACAGTGTTTGCCTTTCATTCAATAGATCCCGGGCTCAAAACCTGACAGTGACGGAAAATTTTCTTGTCTAAAATTGTCTCCTTCCACCTCCTTTCCTGCTCTCTAGCAATGTTCTGTCGTCTGCTTTCGTCTCCACTTTCTGCCCCCACCCTCACGCCTATTTTGCCCCCTCTGGGCTCCTGACTCTTTCTGCAGCCTTTCTACTGTGGGTTTGTATGTACGTATGTGTGTGTGCGTGAGTATGTGTGTGCATGCGTATGTAATACTATGTGCCTATAAGATTGATTTGTAATTCCATAATATGTTTCATGTTAAGCGCATAGAGCATTGCATAAGTGGATATGCGCTGTATAAATGCAATCCAGCATTATTATTATTATTATGATTATTATTATTATGATTATTATTATTTTTGTGTAACCTTGTTTGTGGTATTCTTTTCTTTTCCCAGAAAGCAGAGCTGTCCTGTCGTTAGGAATCAAAGAAGTGCAACAGCCGCCGGCAAAGAAAGTGGGAAATCAAAGCAGGTGAGAGGCTGAAACATTTGTATGTGCAGTGTTGTACAGGGATTGTGCAGTGTTGTACAGGGATTGTGCAGTGTTGTACAGGGATTGTGCAGTGTTGTACAGGGATTGTGCAGTGTTGTACAGGGATTGTGCAGTGTTGTACAGGGATTGTGCAGTGTTGTACAGGGATTGTGCAGTGTTGTACAGGGATTGTGCAGTGTTGTACAGGGATTGTGCAGTGTTGTACAGGGATGCCATTTTTGGCCGCAGGAGGGGGGGTACCATGATTTCCATTATTTTCACTGCTGTAATCGGGTAAGACGAACCGTTATTATTTTCAGTTTTTGGTATCTGTTTAACCTCCATTTAAGTTGTTTGTATTAACTGTCCTTTTATTTTGCAAAAAAAAGTTTATTAAAGTTATTTTCCTAGGACTGGTCCTCATACTTTGCTTTCCCTCTTTGTGTCTGTCTGTTTGGGGTTTTTTCCATTCACTAAATGACCAGTCCTGAACTCGTTCTGTCTTTAAGCCATTCCCAAAGTGAGGATATTAACATGTTCTTATGCTCAGTAGAATTGTAAATGGGTTGATTTATCTATGTCATGCTCATACTGTGCCGGAACAACATAGGGGGAACTGCTGCTTTTTCTTTCCTCATCCTTACTGTCATCATTTTTGTCCTCTACTTCTTTATTATGTTTGTCATTTTCTTGTGAACTATTTCTGGGGTGCCTTGATAGTCAGAGCAGACCTTGTGATGTTGAAGCTAGAGAGGTGAGCAGAGTAAGCCTGATTCCTTGTAAGGACTTCTCTGTTGACACCCACCCCTTGGCACTCATATGACCTTATGCAGTTGCGAGTGCAGTAAGACCTTACTAAAAACTAACGGAACTCGTTCACAATATGTCAGTTTTGTTTCAATTTTGAATATGTGTCACGCCGTGGTGGAATCTGGCGCTCGTCTATTTTTTGGGCATGTGGAGTTTTTGGTAGGCCCTACCATCTGAAAGCTTATTCATTTGTCGTTGCTTTCTATGGAAAAAAAAACCCACCCTTTTAACTTAAATAGAAGTGGAAATATTTGCGACTGAAGGAGGTGAGGGTAGCGTGGTTTCAGAGGTAAAATTATCATGAAAAATGGCCTCCATAGTTTGGTAACTTCTATAGCTTGAGAGTCCTTGAAAACTAAAAATTTACATATTTTGTTCCATTAATCAACGTTTTTCAGAAAAATTCACCTGGAAATGTGTTTTTATATGGACATAAAAGGTGCTGAGCCAAAAAACAAAAATTTGATAAAATTTGCCAAACTGGAGGAAAGATGCCTGTTTCTTCGATTCCATCATTTTGACAAGCACCTCATTCCACAACAATGCCTCACATATTTTCTCTTCACCCCCTCCTCCCCCCCTCCCCCCCTCCCCCCCTCCCCCCCCCCCCCCCCTCCCCCCAATTTCCAAGCCCCCGTTAAAACTTTCAATTTCCCGGCCCCACCCCCCGCGTCCGCTTCTACCTGGAACAGTTTCTGTCGTCTGACGTACCGGAAGTAAAAACAACAGCCAGGGTCAAGGGTGGAGGGGTCCCCCCGGGCCAGCGGTGTGGTTGACAAGAGGAATAGTTGTTGCTGAGGCAGTGGATAAAGTGAGTCTTTGAACGTACCACACGATCTGCTAGAAGTTTTCGATATTGTTGTGTTGGGTGGTTGGCGGGTGCTCTGGTGTGGGGGGGGGGGGGTTTCCTATCAAACATCTATCGTCTTTATCTCCCCTCCTTCTATTTTTTGTTTTGTTACTCTCTTGTAACACCTCTAATCTGTGGCACTTATATGACCTTATTGTGTTGCAAGTGCTGTAAAACTCTTAGTAAATCTAAATTTAGACAATTTCGACTGTTCTGATTCTTTTGGTCAACATTTGGAGATCCTCATGTACATGATTGAGAATCTCATTCTGAGACACACAGGGCACAATCAAAAGTTTAAAAAACTTTCCAGACTAGTTTTGAGAACTGCTCCGGCAATTTGTCAAATGTTTAGGTCTATAACTAAACGGGTTTGGTTTTTTTTTTGCTTTCATCGTCGTCAGTACCTACGGACCAAAACCAACAATGTGTTCGACCAACTGTTGTCTGCTTGCGAAAGTACGGAGGGAATCATCGGCCGGTCGTTTGTCAGCAAGGAGGAAAGAGCCATAGGAGATTTGGTGCTGAGATGCTTTCAGGAGGAACAGGTAAAGGTTATTCTGTATGAGTCATTTGTGAGGTGGGATGGCAAAATGAAGTTACTTCTCAGATTTGGTCGCTTTTAAGGACAAGCGGGCTAACCCTAGAACTAAAACTAAACTGTTGTGCTTTAAAAGTGGGAAGATGCTGTAACTGACATTTGTGGTATAGCGATTACCCTCTTCATTATTGCACGCTGAAGACATTGGTTTCCTTCCTGGGTGGGTGGGGAAGGTTCAGTGAGTATCCTTCTCTGCCCGGATTGGTCATGATAGGCAGGGTAAAGCAGCCGGCCTCCTAAATGATGTAGAATTGTGTCGAGAAGGACTAGAAACATTTGTGAGGCAGCGTGGTGGAGTCAGGCTCTCGTCAATTTTTGGGCATGTAGAGTTATTGGTATCATCTTAAAGCTTGTTCATTTGTCTTTATTTGGATGAAAAAAATATCCATTTATCTTGAATACAAGTCGAGATATTTGCGAAAGAAGGGGGTGGGAGTCACCTGTTTTCAGAGGTAAAATTAGTGAGAAAATGGCCGCCAAAGATTAGTTATTTCCTTAGCTTAAGAGTACATGGTAACTGAAAATTTACATTTTTTGTGCGTTTAATCGTTTTTTAGAAAAATCCACACAGAAATTAGTTTTTTAGTGGGCATGAAAGGTGTTGAGCCAAAAAAAAATTTTTTTTTTTTTAAATTCACAAACCTGCGGAAAAATGCAAGTTTCGTCTCTTTGATTATTTTGACGAGATCCTGATTCCACCACGCTGCCTCACATTTACAATTTAATGCGTAGCCATTGTGGGTTGTAAGTGTGTCCACAAACTGTGGCACTGAAGGTAACTTGGCGGACGCTCTGGTGTGGTTTGCTCCTTCTTTCCTATGGAACATCTATCTGTCGTCTTTGTCGCTCCTCCTGCTTGTCTTTGGCTGTTACTCTCAAGGAACACTTCTAATCTTCTGCACTTCTGTTACCTATTTGTGATGCGAGTGCCATAAAACTTGTAGTACCAAAATAAAGGGAGTTAGAAATAGTCTCATTAGAACAAATAGTCTCATTAGAGCAAATAGTCTCATTAGAACAAATAGTCTCATTAGAGCAAATAGTCTCATTAGAGCAAATAGTCTCATTAGAACAAATAGTCTCATTAGAACGAGCTGAATCTTCAGGCCTGAAAGAGTCGTGAAGGGAAACTTGGAAGGGGTTAAGTTCAGTTAAGCCTTTACTCTTCAAACTGTGCGGTGTATTTAGGTCATTTTCCCTTGTGTTTGTGCTGCAGCCTCTTGACAAGTCTGTGCTATTCAGCCGCGTGTGGACATCCATCTTTAGCCACGACAGTTTGCCGCAGCACGCAAGGTTGGCTTTGTGGTGAGTCATCTTTTTCTTCTTCCTTTTTTTATAAAAATTGTTCTCCCTTTTTAAAAAAAATTGTTCTCCCTTTTTTTTTTTTTTCTTTTGTTTTTGTTACTATTGTTGTTGTTGCCTTTCTTTTTTCTTTTTTATTTTCCTCCTCCTTCTCATCTTCATCCTTAGAAAAAATATAAGTGATTTTAGATGAGAAAGAATTAATATTTCACCTTTGTGAGAATCTTTGAAACTTTGTAGTCGAGAGTCTTCATCTATAATTATGGTTTCAGTGGAGAATATTATTGAAAATAAGTTTGTTTTGTAATGGCATATACTAAGACTTTTTTATCTTTCTTTTTTTTTTTTTCAGTCGACTTTTCACTCTCCTGTGCATGGATCAAGGTAAGACCTTTCTTCAAGATATACTTATGTTTGCTCATGGGCGAAGTCGGAACAACCCCTCGGGGCGGTGCCACTGATGGAAGTGTCTTTAGGCCATTTCCAAAGGGGGGACATTTCTCGTTCTAATGCACAATAGAATTGTAAATGGGCAGATTCATCAATGTCACGCTCATAACTGTGCCTGAACTACAACAGGGAACTGCTGCTTTTTCTTTCCTCATCCTTACTATTGTTATTTTCCTCTACTTTTTTTGTATGTTTGTCACTCTCTTGTGAACTGCTATTTCCGGGGTGCCTTGATAGTCGAAGCTGACTTTGTGCTGTTGAAGCTAGAGAGGTGAGCAGAGTAAGCCTGATTTCCTGTAAGGACTTCTCTGTTGGCCTCCACCCCTTGGCGCTCAAATGACCTTATGCAGTTGCGAGCGCCGTAAAACCTCTACTAAAACGAATAACTAAAAGCTCTGAACAACAAGTAGGGCCAGGTTTTGCGTAAATCTTGGCTCTCTATGCGGACGATATATATGAACTTTTGAGAAGGCTTGATCTCTCCTCATGACTGTTAACTATTAATGTTATATATGAACTTTTGAGAAGGCTTGATCGTCTCCTCATGACTGTTAACTGTTAATGTTATGTATGAACTTTTGAGAAGGCTTGATCTCTCCTCATGACTGTTAACTATTAATGTTATATATGAACTTTTGAGAAGGCTTGATCGTCTCCTCATGACTGTTAACTGTTAATGTTATGTATGAACTTTTGAGAAGGCTTGATCGTCTCCTCATGACTGTTAACTGTTAATGTTATGTATGAACTTTTGAGAAGGCTTGATCGTCTCCTCATGACTGTTAACTGTTAATGTTATGTATGAACTTTTGAGAAGGCTTGATCGTCTCCTCATGACTGTTAACTGTTAATGTTATATAGGAACTTTTGAGAAGGCTTGATCTCTCCTCATGAGTGTGTTTGGGAGTTAACTGTTATGTATGTATAGTATAAGGTTTTACGGCGCTCGCAACTGCTAAGGTCATATGAGCGCGCAGTTAACTGTTAATGACAAAGTCTTTGTGAAGGCCTTTATGTGATATTGCGTCTTACATTTGATTTTAGTAGAAATATAAGTGACGGTGCCTCCTGTTGTTGATAACGTTATGAAAGTCATTGTCCGGCCAGAATATTGCTCCTTTTGACTTTGTTAACTCGCCCATTTCACCCCAAAACAAGATTTTCCGTGGTGCGCATGAAGATAAATAATATTTTACGGATATTTTTTTACTCTTGAATCTGTGATCTATACACTAAAATAATTCTTAAAATGTACTTTTGTCTATCTGATAGAATTATTTTCTTCAACTTTGTGGTCTATACACTAAAATATTTCTTGAAAATATACTTTTTTTGTATATTATGTCCAGACCTCAGGAATACTCCGTAGTACTGAGAAGAACAGAAAGACTAACTCACTGACGCATGCTAAGGGTCCTTTTACGTGTACAGTTCATTCATCGACAAACTGACAGTTTTTCCGACGGACGTTAGTAGATCTGGGTCATTGTTAAACTGACAGTTTGTAGACGAGAGAAGTTCGATTTAGACGAACAATTTTTTTATCCTTAACGTGTCAGTCCTTGACAAAACACACAAAACACACCCCAAAAAAATAACTTTACCCCCTCCCCCTCCCACCTCCACCAGGGCAGTGCTACTCACTGAAACGTCTTTAGGCCATTCCCAAAGGGAGGATATTAACATGTTCTTATGCACAGTAGAATTGTAAATGGGCTGATTTATCAATGTCATGCTCATACTGTGCTGGACCAGCGTAGAGGGAACTGCTGTGTGAACTACTATTTCCAGGGTGCCTTGATAGTCGAAGTTTGATTCCCTGTTTGGACTTCTCTGTTGACATCCACCCCTTGTCGCTCGTATCACCTATGCAGTTGCGAGCGCCGTAAAAACCTTACTAAAACTAAATCTAGCGGCGAGCAAACTTGCGATCGTCTGTCTATCCTCCATTTTGTCGACTGGACTTTGTTGTGTGTTCTTTTCTTTCCATATGTTATGTAATAATAATGTATATGTTATTGATGGCGCAAATTAACTCCCTTTTTCGAGCTGTTGTGGGGTTTGATTTGCTGGGTAGTAAGTTTTTTTTCCAGGTAGTAAATTTTTTCAGGAAATATTGCTGGACACCCTGGACTTGGTAATCTGCCATTAAATTGTGTTCCCCGCGTGATTTTGACTCATTTTGGGTCACTGATCACGAAAATCTTTTTTTAATTTTTATTTGACCAATATTTTGGAATGCATTTTCAATTCCACCTGGGGCAACATAAAAAAAACCACTCCCTCGTCGTCATGCCTTCATTTCGCCGGCTGGCAAATATCTGGCGTGGCTGGATATCTGGTGGTTGGACTGAGAACCCTTCGATATCGAGAGGATTGCTCGTTTCCACGCTCAGTTTTACCGGGAAGTTGACAGGATGCCCGCCACTCTTTTGATATCCTGCAGTTTGTTTATCAATGAACTGTACGCATGGGTGGTCGGTGGGTGCTCTGGTGTGGTTTGCTTCTTCTTTCTTATCAAACAACTATCGTGTTTATCTCCTTTCCTTCTTTTTTGTGTTTGTTACTCTCTTGTAACTCCTCTAATCTTCGGCACTCATATTTCCTTATTGTGTTGCAAGCGCCGTAAAACTTACTAAAACTACTAAAATGAACTGTACATGTAAATGGGGCCTAATAGTTTCTCCTGTATTCCTTTCCCCCCCTCCCTCCGCAGGCGACCTTGAGCAGGTGCGAGTGCTGATGTACAACATGGCCTGGTGCGGCTACCTGGACGTGGTCCGGCTGACGCTGTCTGTGGTGGGCGTGTGGCCGGCCACGCTCGCCTCCAGCTTCCTGGCGGGCTGCTCGGCCATCGGCGACGTGCTGGGGCTGGTGCTGCGGGACAAGGCCAGGGGAAGTCCCGAACTGTTCCAACGGGTTGGTTCTTCTTTCCTATCAAACATCTATCGTCCTTGTCTCCCTTTCTTCTTTTTTATGTTTGTTACTCTCTTGTAACAGCTCTAATCTTCTGGCACTCATATGAACTTATGCAGTTGTGAGCGCCGTAAAACCTCTACTAAAAACTAACCAACAGGTTGGTTCCAAGTGGATATTGTAACGCATTTCAACACAGAACACTTTGCCATCACAAGGCTCATAGAGTAAAAACACTTGCCATCACAAGGCTCATAGAGTAAAAACCCCAGCCGTCACAAGGCTCATATAGTGAAAACCCTAGCCGTCACAAGGCTCATATAGTGAAAACCCTTGCCATCACAAGGCTCATAGAGTAAAAACCCTAGCCGTCACAAGGCTCATATAGTGAAAACCCTAGCCGTCACAAGGCTCATATAGTGAAAACCCTAGCCGTCACAAGGCTCATATAGTGAAAACCCTTGCCATCACAAGGCTCATAGAGTAAAAACCCTAGCCGTCACAAGGCTCATATAGTGAAAACCCTAGCCGTCACAAGGCTCATATAGTGAAAACCCTAGCCATCACAAGGCTCATATAGTAAAAACCCCAGCCGTCACAAGGCTCATATAGTAAAAACCCTAGCCATCACAAGGCTCATATAGTAAAAACCCCAGCCATCACAAGGCTCATATAGTAAAAACCCTAGCCGTCACAAGGCTCATATAGTAAAAACCCCAGCCATCACAAGGCTCATATAGTGAAAACCCTTGCCATCACAAGGTTCATATAGTGAAAACCCTTGCCATCACAAGGCTCATATAGTGAAAACCCTTGCCATCACAAGCATTTCCTGGGAAATCCAAAGAAAAAGGGTGGTAAACTTGCTGTCGAGTGGGGATATCATGTGTCCTCTACTTCTTTTGTATGTTTGT